CCCCCCCCCCGTTGTGGGACTTGAACTCTGGGCCTGGGCACTGTCCCTGAGCTCTTCAGCTCAAGGCGAGCACTTGAGCCACAGCACCACTTTCAGTTTTCTGGTGGTTCATTGGAGAAAAGAGTCTCACAGACTTTCCTGCTTGGGCTGGCTTTGAACTGTGGTCCTCAGATCTCAGCCTCCTGAGTAGCTAGGATTACAGGTGTGAGGCACTGGCATCCGGCCCTAGTTTCCTTATCTATAAAACAGGCATAAACATGGCAGGCTACCGCAAGCCCCCACAAGCTGTGAGGCAGAGAGCCAGGGCCACGCTGGGGGGTGGACGGCAGGTGGGCATTCCCCTTCCCTCCCATCTCACTGCGTTCATGTTCCTCTCCCCAGAGGCTGGTGCAGTTCTGGTTTGCCACAGGGGGCGCAGGCTTCTGCATCAACCGCAGACTAGCTTTGAAGATGGCCCCGTGGGCCAGGTAAGCCGAGACCCAGGACGGAGGTGTGTGACGGGCCTGGACATGAGGAGGAGCCAGAGCCATTGTGGCCAGAGCGGGGAGAGACCGCCTGCTTCTCTAGGTTTTAGAGTCTCCGGTTTGTGGAGAGGCGTCATCCACCAACCTTCCCCCACTCAGGGTTAACACATCTCAGGGAAAAACACATCTTTGGGGGGCTGGCAAAGTGGCTTAATCATAGAGTGCTTGCCTAGCATGCATGAGGCCCTGGGTTCGATTCCTCAGTGCTACATACACAGAAAAAGCTGGAAGTGGGGAAGTGGCTCAAGTGGTGGAGCGCCCACCTTGAAGAAAAGAAGCTCACGGACAGTGCCCAGGCCCCGAGTTCAGGTCCTAAGACTGGCAAAAAAAAAAAAAAATCTTTGGGAGCCTCAGTTTCCCCATCTGTAAAATGGACCTGAAAAATATAACAGCCAGAGGTCGCATAAAGGTTAAGTGAGCAAATGTCTGAGCTTCACCTTCTAGGAGCCGGGGCCTCCTCAGCTCCTTCTGCAGCTCTCTTCTGTCTGAGCAGCCATGGCCAAGGGCAGGGGCTCTCAGAAGAGGGAGAGGAAGGGATGGCTTCCCGGAGGAGGCGGCATTTGACATGAACAGGCCCCGAAGAGAGGCGCCCAGGGAAGCGGAAGTCCTAGCTCTATGGATGGGGGTAGCATGGACTCTGGCATCCTCGGAGTTCCAGGCTGCCTCTAGGTCTTTCTGGGCTGGCTCATATTAACACCCGTGGCTGTGATCTTCTATGGAGCTTTTTGGGGGCTTGAACTCAGGGCCTGGGCATTATCCCTGAGCTTCTTTTGCACAAGGCTAGCGCTCTATCACTTGAGCCACAATGCCACTTCTGCCTTTTTCTGAGTAGTTTACTGCAGCTGAGTCTTACAGACTTTCCTGCCCAGGCTGGCTTTGACCCATGATCCTCAGATCTCAGCCTCCTGAGTAGCTAGGATTGCAGGCGGAAGCTACCAGTGCCTGGCTTGTATGGAGCTTTGGCTTTGGCCTTGGCCTGGGCTCCTGCAGCTTTGAACATGGAGGCACTGAGAGCTGAAACAAGCGAAGGTCTTCCCGATTCAAGGTCACCCGGCTGCCGCGTTTGCTTTACCTTAGATGGAGAGGAGCCTGCGTGTTGTCTTAGGTCTGGTCTGTGAGGAGCTGCCTGGGCTTCTGGCCTGCATAACTTTGAATGAATTAGTGCCTCACGCCTATAGTCCTCGCTGCTCAGGAGGCTGAGATCCGAGGATCATGATTCAAAGCCAGCCTGGGCAGGAAAGTCCATGAGATTGTTATTGCCAGTTGCTGACCAAAATGCTGGAAGAGGAGCTGAGCTGTAGTTCAAGTGGTAGAGAGCCAGGGCCGGGAAGGTGGCTTAGTGGTAGAGCGCTTGTCTAGCATGCACAAAGCCCTGGGTTCAATTCCTTAGTACCACATACAGGAAAAGCCAGAACTGGGGCTGTGGCTCGAGTGGTAGAGCACCAGCCTTGAATGAAAAAGCTGAAGGACAGCATCACCCTGGGAGTCTGGCGGAGGCCCCGTGGGAGGCTCCGGGGGGAAGCCAAGGGGGGAGGCTCCAGCCTGCTCTGCCCCACCCCCAGCGGCTCCCGCTTCGTGGACACGTCGGCGCTCATCCGGCTTCCTGATGACTGCACAGTAGGTTACATCGTGGAGTGCAAGCTGGGCGGCCGCCTGCAGCCCAGCCCCCTCTTCCACTCGCACCTGGAGACCCTGCAGCTGCTGGGGGCTGCCCAGCTCCCGCAGCAGGTGAGCTGCCCCAGGGCTGTGGTCGTGCGGTAGGGGGGGCCCTCTGGGGGGTATGTGAGGTCAACCGGATGCTGGGCCTGGCTGTGTCCTATTAATGGGGAAACTGAGGCCCGGGACGGCAAAGGATCCCAAATGGCAAATGCTGCCAGTGCCTTGGAGATGGGCCAGTCTTTTTGTGCTGGTTGTAGGGCTTGAACTCAAGGCCCACGTGCGAGTTCTGAGCATTTTTGTTCCAGGCTATTGCTCTACCACTTAAGCCATAGTTCTACTTCAGACTTTTTTTTTTTTTTTT